AAAAAAAAAAAACCATTGTCTCCAGATCATCTGATTTTCACCATCATTGTGGGTAAGCAAAGAAACGAGCCACTTGTTGATTTGAGCCTTTAATCCAGTTTTTGCTGTTGTTGTTGCTTTCTTTTGATGTTTAGTTTTGATTTTTTGAAATAGGATCTTGCTATGTAATTCAGGCTACCTATAACTTGTAAGGTATGCATATGCCACTATGCCTAGCTTTCAACTCAGAGATCTTGATTTCAGAGTCTTATTTCCTGGCCAGCTCTTGATTTCAGAGCCTTAAGCTTACTGACCAGGTTAAAGTTACCTCCATTTGCCCTTATGGAACCACTAACAGCTCTTAGCTTCATGTGTTCCAACACTGATTCTTCTAGGTAACATAAATCATTATATCTCATAAAATGTGTTTATTGGGGATGGAGACATAGCTCGACAGTCTAAGCACCAACATGGCAAGTACAAGGACCTAGATTTGATCCCTGGTACCGCATGCCATGCTGGCCCCACATAGAGCCTTCCACATAGAGCACATTCCTGTAATCCCAGTGCTGGGGAAGCTGAGACAGGAGGATCTCTACAAGTCCAAGCTGGGTAGCAAGACCCTGTACCAAATAAATAAAGATTTTTTAATGTGTTTATTATATTGCAGTTATAATGAGCATGACTTCTAGAAGCTTTGTGGACAAATAAAATATTGACAAAATCAGCAGGTTTTAAAAATAGCAAAACCATATTTAGCAGCTAGGTAATTAATGTGCAGTACTTATATCAGAGTTACCTTGCACAATAATAATTTGTATGGTTTGGGTCCCTGATAGGCTAGAATCTCTAACAGGCCATATTATGCTGTTTTTTTTTCCAGCATGAACAGGGATCAGTTCAGATGTTTGAGCATTTAGTTAATTCGAATGGGCTCAGGGCTGTCATGGAGCAGTATGGTCTCGTCCCTGAGGAAGATATTTGTTTCATCAAGGAACAGATTGCAGGACCACTTGAATCACCAGTCAGAAAGTCTTCGGTAAGTTTGTACTGTATTCAGCTTAATTTGAACTGACTGATTCTCTTTTCTAATCTGTTTCCAGTTATTTTACAGCAATATATTTTGGTGTTTTAAAGGGGCCAATGACAAAATCTAAGTTACATATTTCTGCCCACTAATCCAACAAGTGAAAGGTTTGGTGTTTTTTTTTTTTGTTTTTTGTTTTTTGTTTTTTTTTGTGCCTTTTAACTGAATTCTTTGAAAGTTACTCTTAAATTTAAAGTATTTATGAATCATTTTTAATGAATATATGTATAATATTTTAGAAGCCTTAAATAATTTTTTTTTTTTTTTGCAAATGTGAAACTATCTTGTTTGTCCATTATAGTTAACATATTGGAAATTTTTAGATATATGAAGACCTAAAGAATTAAACTAGTTCAGAGGAAAATCTTTATACTTTTAACTTTTTTGTGTGTGTATGTGTGTGGTACTGGGGATTGAACTTGGGGACCTTGGGCTTGCCAGGCAAGTACTTGTGCCACCAACCTGTATCCCCAGCCCTTAACTTTAAAATAAGTTGGAGGACGAGGGCTGGGGAGATGGCTCAGTGGAATAAGCATTTCTCTGGCAAGCGCAAGGGCCTGAGTTCAATCCCCGGTTCTACCAAAAAAAAAAAAAAGAGGGCTGTTTTGGGGAGATGGCTCAGTAGGATAAGCGCTTGACCGGCAAACGCAAGGATCTGAGTTCAATCCCCAGTTCCGCCAAAAATAAAAAAATAAAAAAAATAAAATAAGTTGGAGGGCCAGGGAGATGGCTCAGTAGAATAAGTGCTTCCCTGGCAAGCACAAGGGCCTGAGTTCAATCCCCGGTTCCACCAAAAAAACAAAAAAAAAACTGAGAAAGAAAAAATAAGTTGGAAATGGGGCCGGGGAGATGGCTCAGTGGAATAAGCACTTCCCTGGCAAGCACAAGGGCCTGAGTTCAATCCCCGGTTCCACAAAAATAAATAAATAAATAAATAAATAAATAAAATAAGTTGGAAAATAATTTTCTCTTGAGAATTTAAGGGTTTTTCCCCTTAAATAATGCAAATGTACTTCTAAAATATACAGGTTTTTAGTGTTGTGGGTTTTTTTGTTTTGTTTTGTTTTGTTTTGTCTTTTTGATGTAGGGGTTTCTCTATGTAATTCAGGCTGGCCTTGAACTCACTTTATAGGCCAAGCTAGCCTCTTACCATTATCCTCCTGCCTTAGCCTCTCAAGTTCTGGAATTACAGGTGTGCACTATCACACTCAGCCAAGAAAACAAAATTAAAAGGTAGATTTTGTAGCAAATAACTAATTTCCAAAAAGTAGAGGTCCAAAAATGCGTTGAAACATGCACATGTCATTTAGACTAGACATGTAACTAGATGTGAAGCTACTAGATGTGTAGACACTATTATTTTAATGCATAATTTCAAGCACTGTTTCAGAAACATTCTTACAAGTTCATAATTAAATCATATTTTTGGAAAGATTTTAAGTCAAGAAAATAAAAATGTTCTCATTTGTGGGAGTTGTTATGTAGTAGGATTCTTTGAATGACTCTTAAAGTTTTATGTGTGTGTGTATGTGTGTACTCTACCACTGTTACCACTGTCAGTCTTCCCTAGCTTGAAGATTTAGTATTAATAGCATATACAGTATATTTTAGCATTTTTTTCTTTTCTGCTTTTATAAGAATCAATTGAAAGAAAGAATAGACCCTTCTAATTTATCTTTTATTCTCAATTTATAATTTACAGATGAACACAATTATTTTGTTTGCAAGTGGATTTGTTGCCTATCCTAAAATTTTGCCTGGGTTTTCTTGTCTTCTAGTGGCCATATAAAGGACGTCCTCATGAGAAAAGCTTCCTTTATGAGATAGTGGCTAATAAAAAAAATGGCATTGATGTAGATAAATGGGATTATTTTGCCAGGTATGCACTGAACATGTCAGAAAAACTGTGTAAAATCTTTATATAAATTCAATATTTGTATTTATGTATTTATGTAGGTGTGTATGTATGTATTTAGTACAGAGTCTACAAGGTCTCACTACATAGATCAGACTTGTAATGATTCTCCTGTTTTCAGCCTCCCAAATTACAGGGGTGTGCCTCCATACCCAGTCTCAATCACAGTCTCAGCCTCCCTCAGGGTTAGGGCTGGCACTGCACACCAGGAATCAAACCCCAGCACTGCACTCTGCCTAAGCAGGTACTTTAGTCCACTGAACTATTAGGCTGGCCCTTATTTATTTATTTATTTATTTATTTATTAGTCTTTTTGAGACAGGGTCTCACTATGCAGTTCAGGCTGACCTTAAGCTCATTTTGTGGCCCAGGCTGGTCTCAAACTCAGAGCGATCTTCCTGCCTGAGCCTCCTGAGTGCTGGGATAACAGACGTGCACCATCACACTCCAGCAGCATTTGTATTTAAAGCTCACTTTTCCTATTGAAAAATTTCATCTTTTTTGATTCCTCATAGGGACTGTCATCATCTTGGAATCCAAAATAATTTTGATTACAAGCGCTTTCTTAAGTTTGCCCGTGTCTGTGAAGTGGATAAAACGAAGCATATTTGCACTAGAGAAAAGGTAAGCTGTGTGTCAAAGGAGATGACAAGAAGAGTATAGTTCCTGGTTTGAAATCTGGAAATAACTTTCAGCTATTTGGAAAAATTGGTAAATGATTGATTTTTTTAAAAAAGTGTATTTGTAAGTATCTTAAGGCTTGTTGTAGTTAGGGTTTGCAAGGGAAACAATTTAATATAGGTCATGTAATTCCTAGGGTTATTTTATAGTAGCCACCCAAAAAGTCTAGTATAAAAGAATGCACAAAATCTGTCACACACTAAAGACCCTAAGGATCTGTATCCCATGGCATTGTCCTGCATGAGCCCAGCTAAAGACCTAGAGTCCATGACAGTGCTGCTCACAAATCTAACTGGCGGCCTAGAGCCCACAGCACCTCATGCAAACCTGTTTCAAGGATCTGCTCTGAAAAGGCCCAAGATCATGGTGGGAGCTAGAAAGTGTGTGCCAGTGAGATGAAGGGATTGTGCCAGCAGCAGTGCTCAAAGGACGGACCCTAGAAAGTGGCACAGCCATCCTCAGCAACAGTGAGGTCCCAGGCTCCTCCAGTGGTGAGAACGGCCCAGTCCATATCAGGAAAGCCAGCACGACAGCTTCCTCCAGGTGAACTAAAGTCCCACTTTTCCTCTCCAGTTCTCCTTTCTGTATTGTTGAAAACAATCCTCAGGTGGACCCTCCCACCCTCCCCACCCCGCACAACACTGTTTCAGTTAAGCTGAATATAACAATTTGACCACCAATTAACAATCCACTACAAAAGAGGTTCATTTAGTTTATAGGTGTAGAGGCCCAACAGCATGGCAGTAGCATCTGATTGGCTGCTGATAAGGATCACTTACTGCTCAGTGTATGGGGGAAAATCAGAAGGGCAAGCAGGCACATCTGGCAGAGAGCAAAGGGAGGTAGGTGCCAGGCTGTACTTACAACAAACTACTTTAATAAGAATTACATTAATCACTTCATGAGGATAGAACCTCCAGTTCAATTAAAAGTTCCAGCACTTCTCAATACTGTTATTTTGGGAACCTACTTTTGACATGAGTTTTGCTGGAGATGAACCATATTTCAACCATAGCACCATAGAACAAGTGAGCAAATTGAGGCATAGGAGGGATAGAATTAATAATAAATGACAGCTAGACTTTCAACCCCACAAGATATTTGTTAAGATGACAATCTTGTAATTAAAGAATGGTACAGTGGTATAGTATTGTAGTCAATAATAAAATGATATAAAATAATACTTATTTGTAGAGTTAATGAAAGGATTAAAAGATTATTTAATAAGGCCTAAAACAGAACCTGTGGGCTGGAAGCATAGCTCAGTAGTTAAGCATGTGCCTGCCATGCACAAAACCTTCATTTCAGTCCCTAGCACAAAAGAAAATTTAAAACAGGTCCCTTTTAAAACTTAAAAAGTACCTGTCACAAAGTTGCAACTTACAAGATTTTGTTTATTTATGTATTTATTATTTTTTGAGACAGGGTTTTGCTATGCAGTTTTGGCTGGTCTTGAACTCACCATGTGGCCCAGACTAACCTCAGACTCCGCAGTCTTCTTGCCTCAGCTTCCCAAATGCTGGAATTACAGGTGTGCACCACCATGCCCAGCAAGATTTTATTATTAAAAATGATGGGGGCCGGGGAAATGGCTCAGTAGGATAAGCGCTTGACTGGCAAATGCAAGGATCTGAGTTCAATCCCCGGTTCCACAAAAAAAAAAAAAAAAATTCTGAAATGAACATGGCAATGTATGCCTATAACCTTAGTACTCTGCAAGGAAGGGGCGAAGCATCACAAGTTCAGGCCCAGCCTAGATGATTTGGTGACTTAGACCCTGTCTCAAAAAAAAATTTTTTTAAAGGGCTAGGAATATAGATCAGTGTGAAGTCCCTGGGTCCAGTCTTAAGAAAGAAGAGTGGAATGGAGAGAGAGAAGAGAGGGATGAAAAGAAAAGAGAATTTGCAAATCAATAAACAGCCATTACCCACTCCCTTCTTTTAGTCACTTCAAGGGTTGTAATGAATAGCTTCCTACACATAGCCTTTTTATCTGCCATCAATCATTTCTTTATCTTAGGTACTTGTCTCCTAGCAAGATTAATAGTCTGATCCTACATTATTGTACATTCATGTTTTTCTGCAGGAGGTTGGAAATCTCTATGACATGTTCTACACACGCAATAGTTTACACCGCAGAGCTTATCAACATAAAGTCGGTAACATCATTGATACTATGTAAGAAAATTTTACCTGTCATTTCCCTGTAAAACCTGCCAGCATACTTTACTAGATTATCGTACTTGGCTGAAATTAAGATTTCTAGATAAATTCAAGTTGGTTCTTAAGTAAGTAAATCTAAAATGGTTTCCTTAAACAAAGACAAGACCCAGTATAAAGTAAACTTAGCAGAAGAGGAGGGAATCAGGAGTAGTATAGATGACTTGAGGAAGAGCTGCCTTAGGCTGGACATGGAGAGGCAGAGCCCAAATGGCTCAGGATGTCTGCTTGGGCTGTTACTTAGGTACCATATACTAGTAACAGGAGGTGGGACGTGAGTAATTGACATTCTCATGTTAATAACAATTAATTTTGAGGATGAAAAGTAATGTCTGTTTTATCCTTTGAAATATATATATCAAACTGAGTAGTAGGTAGTAAATCCAGCAGGAATTTGACCTGATTCAGTCAAAATCAAAACAAAGTAGTACAGTAGAATCTGTACATAACTAAAAAACTCCATGAGTTTTCCCTTCTAGATTGTTTGTTTGTTGGGGGGGGTATTTATTTGTTTTTGTTTTTATTTTTTGGTACCATAAATCAAACTCACAACCTTGCACTTGCCAAGCAGGCACTGTGAGTGGAATATATGGTGGAATATACTTATAATCCCAGCTACTCTGAGGAGGCTGAGGCAGAAAGATCAAAAGTTCAAGGCCAGCCTAAACAATTTAGTGAGACCCTGTCTAAAAATACAATTTAAAAAAGCCTGGGGGAGAGCACTTGCCTAGAACATGCAGGCCCCTGGGTTTGATCCCAGTACAAAAAAAAAAAAAACACAAAACCGAGTATGAGTCAAATTGATTGTATGTCTATGTCTCTAAAATAGATTATTACAAACCTTCATGTTTACATTTATATTCATGCTCTGATAGAAATTTCTCTTTATTTCTATTTTCTGTCTGTCCTTTATCAGGCTAGTTAGAATGATTAATATTTTGATAATAGTTTTTTAAAATTCAGAGTCAGAAAACTGTTCAAGCCTGGTACTGCTTTTTTATAACTTGCTTGAAGGAAACTGATACTATTTCTCCATATGTAAACTAGGAGGATTCTTTTTTTTTTTTTTTTGGCTGGCTCTGGCTGCCTTAAGGAAGGGTCTACTGTGGCATGTGGTGCTGGGGATCATCCATATGTAAAATAGGAACTAATAATACCTACCAATTGTTGGAAGATTAAAATAAGATAATACATCTGAAATCCTCCCCTTAGTGCATGGAACACAGTAGATGTGTCTCATAGATCACTCTCATTTACTTAGTATGAGAAAGTAGCAGTTGCCTTTAGAACATCCTACCTCAAGGTTGTATTTTTCTAAGAAAGATCCCCTTAGCTAAGGCATAAAGCACAAATATTCAGAATTTCTCTAAGCATATTTTCATAAAATGATCTTTAGGATTACAGATGCTTTCTTCAAAGCAGACCCCCACATAAAGATTATAGGGGCTGAAGGGAAAGAATATAGCATTTCTACAGCAATTGACGACATGGAAGCCTTCACCAAGCTGACAGGTAAGAACTAAAGGTAATGTAGATGGTCTGTCTCAGATATGGTGTGAATCCCAGTCTACTGATGGGATTGCTGATGAGTTATTTTCCACATTTTCAAATGTATTTTAACTTAAGTGATTATACTGTATACTTTTATTTTTTTATTTTTATTTATGTGTGTGTGTGTGTGTGTGTGTGTGTGTGGCCAGCTCAGCCCACCAGGGTGCGGGGCTGGCTGGCTTGTGGTGCTGGGGGATTGAACCGTGGTCCCTGTGCTTTGCTAAGCTTGTTTGTTCTAAGTAGGTGCTTTAGACCACTGAACCATCTCACCAGCCCATACTGTATACTTTTAAATTTGAGTTTATTTTTATATTATATTAACAAGATGATCTTAGTAATGTGATTTAACCTCCCCGAACCTTAGTTTCTTTGCCTGTATTATTTTGAGAGTCTAGCTATGTAAGTTTGCCTAGGCTGGGCTCAACTTGTGATCTGCCTTGCCTCAGCCTTCCAGAGTGCTGGCATTATAGCTGTGTGCCACCACACCCAGATTTTTAACATTTTTATTGCAAAGTATATGAAGCTAGGATTATCTCTTCATATTTCTGCAAAAACAATCTGCAGCTTTAGAGTGAGAGATGAGGGTATAGTAGCTGGCTCTGTAAATGAAAGTATAGATTGAGAATAAAGATCACTCAATCTAAAGAGGAACAAAAGCATAGGCCAGTCGGAGTTTGTATCTGCATCCGTGCATCTAAAAATACAATCAGGATTGGGGAGATGGCTCAGTAGAATAAGCGCTTTCCTGGCAAGTGCAAGGGTCTGAGTTGAATACCCAGTTCTGCAAAAAAAAAAAAAATCAGCTTGGGATACAGCTCATTGGCACAGTGCCTGCCTAGCTAGCACAAAGTCCTGAGTTTGATTCCTGGTACCAAAAATAAATAGAACAGAATAGGATAGATCAGACACACAGCCCACAGAATTCAGTGGAAAAGCTGAAGGGTCTAAAAATCCACAAAAACAGCAGAAAGAGAGCTGCGTGAGACACAGGCAGGCACCTCTGTAACAGCTTCCTGTCAGGGCACTGCCCAGGCTCCTGCTGTTCTGTCCTGCGTAGGTTCTGCTTGGAGCACATTGCCAGAGCAAAACCTGGCCAGACTCTCTCCAGACTACTTTGAAGAACCAGTTTTAAAAATTTTCAGCCCTTTAGATCAATAGTTTCTGTAGGGCCGGGGAGATGGCTCAGTAGAATAAGTGCTTGCCCAGCAAGTGCAAGGCCTGAGTTCAATCCCTGGTTCCACCAAAATAAATAAATAAATAAATAAATAAATAAATAAATAAATAAATAAACTTATTTTGGGCTGGTGAGATGGCTCAGTGGTCTAAAGCACCTACTTAGAACAAACTTAGCAAAGCACAGGGACCACAGTTCAATCCCCCAGCACCACATGCCAGCCACCCCCGCCCCCTGGTGGGCTGAGCTGGCCACACACACACACACATAAATTTAAAAAAAAAAAATAGTTTCTGTAAAATATGATAAAAATATATTACTAGGGGGACCTACCCCTTAGCTCAGTTCTTTAAGTGGCTGCTTCAACAAAGCAGTCAGGCTCAGGTTGCTGTGGTTCGATTCCCACAACTCAAGCCAGCCAACCCTGCCCTGAAGGCATTTGGAGCCTGGCCAAAAAAAAAAAAAAAATCCTTCTTGTCCACATCTTGTACAGCAAATAACCACTAGGAAGAATGTATGCAATGTGTTAATTATTGAAACTGTCCCACCAATTTGGTTTGAAACTGTCTCATCGCTATTTGTTTATCAGTAAAATTATGGAAAAAAATATAAATTACTAGGGTGAGGGATATAGTTTAGTGGTAGAGTAATTGTTTAGTATGTTTAAGACTCTGGTTTAGATCCCAAGCACTATTAAAAAAATCATTTGAGAAATGAGATGGGGGAATGGGGACATATAAAATGTAAGCTCATTTTTTGTCATTTGCTTGAGACATGATAATCTAGGTTGCCCTTAAACTTACTGGGTAGCCCAGACTGACCTCGAACTCATGGCAATCCTCGTATCTCAGCTTCCCGAGTGCTGAGATGACAGCAACACCAGCACACCCAACTTTGCCAGACCTTACTGTTTAATAACTATAATAGAGAAAAACTTGCATTATAAAAACTGTACATATTCTTTAAAAATACATTTGGCTTTCTATGTCCACGTGTTCAGCAACTGTGGATTCAACTAACTGTGAATCCAGAATACTTGGGAAAAATGGATCTGTACTAAACATGTACAAACAGATGCTTTGGCTCCTTTCTTCCTAAGCAGCACAGTATAACAAATATTTACATAAATTTACATCTCTGTTCTAATAGAATCCTAGTAAGCTAGTCTCCCATCTTTATGTTGATAGGAATAGAAAAGAAGATTTTAAAACAGTCTGGGATTTGAGCAACCTGGGAATGTTTTTAACTTTTCTAAATCATAATAAAGAAAAGGCAGGTGTTTAGGCCACTGAGCTATAAAAACTAGGTTTTTGGTTTTTGTTTTTTGGGGGTTTTTTTGGCTGGAAAACTAGCTTGGCAGTCTAAGGGCCTGTCTGGTAAACCAAGGTCTTGAGTTCAATCCCCGCTATCCTATGCTATGCTGGGTGCGAATATGTCAGCCACTGAAAGCAGACATGGTAGCCCATGCCTGGAATCCCAGTGCCAGGGAAGCTGAGACAGGAGGATGGATCATTGTGAGTCCAAGCTGTGTAGTGAGCCCCTGTACCTAATTAATTAATTAATTAATAAGATTAAAATTTTTTTAACATTTATTTGTGTGTGTGTGTTTGTGTGTGTGTGTGTGTGTGTGGCCAGTTCAGCCCACCTGGGGGTGGGGCGGGCTGGCTAGCATGTGGTGCTGGGGGATCGAACCGCAGTCCCTGTGCTTTGCCAAGCTTGTTCTGAGTAGATACTTTAGACCACTGAGCCATCAGCCCCTAAATTTTTTTTTAGAGACTGGATTTTTCTAATACAGGCTTTTCTTTTATTGCCTAAATTGATGAAATGCTTTCTTCAATCACGGAATTTCAATTCATGGAAGCCTACCTAATCTTGAAGTTCATTTCAAGGCATGATACCATAAAATCTTCCTCAATCTATACAATCCAGTGATGTAATCCTTCCTTCGATCCCAAAGAACTTTATGATACTGTTCTTTTTTTTTTTTTTTTTTTTTTTTGTGGGGGGGCAGAACCGGGGATTGAACTCAGGCCCTTGTGCTTGCCAGGGAAGCACTTATTCCACTGAGCCATCTCCCTGGCCCCTGTGATACTGTTCTTAGTCCTTTAATCTTCTACATGCCTGCAATCCCAACTACTTGGGAGGCTGAGGCTAGAGGCTTGTAAGTTCAACACTGGCCTGGACATCTTAGACCTTGTCTCAAAATAAAAGTGATGGGGCTGGGGAGATAACTCAGTAGAATGAGCGTTTGCCTGGCAAGTTCTTACCCCCTGTTCAATCCCTGGTTCCACCAAAAAAAATAAAAATAAAAGTGCTTTAAAAAAGGGCTGAGAGGGGCCAGGGAGATGGCTCAGTGGAATAAGTGCTTCCCTGGCAAGTACAAGGGCCTGAGTTCAGTCCCCGGTTCAGCAAACCCCCCCCCCCAAAAAAAAAAAAAAAAAAAAAAAAGGGCTGAGATTATAGTTCAGTGTTGGAGCATGCACAAGGCCCTGAGTTCCATTCCTAATAACAACAGAGTGTCATTTGATTATGTTAACATTAAATTATTCTGTTTTTTAAACTGTGTATATAGTATGTGAAGAAAAAATGAAAACTGAGGAAAGATTGAAGAAAGGATCATTGAATGTGAGGAATGAAATGACCACAAAAGTGGGGCCGGGGAAATGGCTCGGTAGAATAAGCACTTGCCTGACAAGCACAAGGGCCTGAGTTCAAAACTCTGGTTCCACCAAAAAAAAAAAAAAGAAAGAAAGAAATGACCACAAAATCAGTAGGGAAAGAATGGGGTAGATTACATAAGGCAGCTTTCTTTTGGGGGTAGTGGAGCAAGAAAGGACAGTATAACAAGGTTCCTATTAAAAATACAACAAATGTTTCAGACAAGAATCATCAGTGAATCCTAAACCACTGAAGGAAAACTTGTTTGAATAGCCACAGTCTCTCAAAGTATCCCACTACTGATGACTTCTTAATCATAAAGAAAAGGACAGGCTGGAAATGTAGCTCAATGGTAAAAAATGGTAGATTGCTTGCCTCACATGAAGGAGGGCCTAAGTTTGACCCTCAGCATGAGAGAGAAAAATGTATTTATAAATTATAGTAGAGAAATTTGAGGAGTATTACCTAAACCAACTGGTCAAATATAACATAACCCACCATGGTAATATAATACATTATAAAACAACTAGCCAGGCATGGCAGTACTGTTCATGCCTCTAATTCCAGCAGTTTAGGAGGCTAAGGCAGGAGGATCAAAGTTCAAGGCTACCCCAGACAACTCAGTAAGACCCTATCTCAAAATGAAAAACAAAGAAGGCTCAGGATGTAACTAAATGGGAGATACCCCTGGCTGGGTTCAATCTCTGGTGCCACAAATAAATGAAAAATGAAAATGAGCTGTGCCAGCTCCACCCCCAGGACACACTGAGACAGTGAAGACTGGGTGTGGTGACGAAGCCTAGAATCCCAGTGGTTGGGAGGCTGAAAACAGGAGAATCACTGAGTCTCATCTGTGTAGTGATACTCTCTAGACCCTGTCCTAAATAAAGAAAATGGGCTGGATATGTAGTTCAAGTTTGAGGCCCCGAGTTTCATCCCTGTTTTTGAAATGAAACACACACACACACACACACACACACACACACACACACACACAGAGGCACATCTACCTGAACTTTTCTACAATATCAGTATCTTAAAAGCAAAAAGAATAAATATTCTTGTTTTAGATGAAAATGATAAAAAGTGTGACCACTAATATTACTCATTTACTTGGTTTATCTACCTGGTAATAAAAATTAATTTAAATTACTGGGGCAGATAAGCAAATCTGAGGATAGACTATGTATTAAGGGGGGAGGATGGTGCTTCACTGTATAGCTGGCCTCAAACTTTTGATCTTCCTGTCTTAGCTACCTGCGTGCTGAGATTATAAGCATGCACTACCACAACAGTTTATGTAACAGTTTATATCAGTGTTAAATGTCTTGGTTTATTTATATGAGAGACAGTTCTTGTATTTGAGAGATATGTTGGAGTATTTAGGTGATGAAGGTCTTGATGTTGGCTATGTTCAAATGTTTCACAAAAAAGTATCCATCATTCCACACACACTGAGTGACCTAAAAGTAAGCCCAAGACGTTAAATGGAACGCTTTCGAAGACCATTTTCTAAGCCAGGGGAGGTAGTGCATGCCTCTAGTCCCAGCAATGAAGAGGCTGAAGCAGGAGGACCATTGCGAGTTCGAGACCAGCCTGGACTACAAAGTGAGCTCAAGGCCAGCCTGAGCTGCATAGCCAGGCCCTGTCTCAAAAAAAAAAAAAAAAGTTTTCTACACTCTTAAAAAATTTTTTCACATGACTGAAATTATCATATGCCAACGTACATGAGCTGCTTCTTGAAACCACTTCCAGAGTAGAACAGTACATTTTAATATGACTAAAATTTCATCACAAGCTTTGCACAGGCATGACTATTACTAATTAAAATTTCATCACATTGGCAGATAACATTTTTCTGGAGATTTTACACTCTACTGATCCCAATCTGGATGCTGCACGAGAAGTTTTAAAAAACATTGAACACCGTATCCTGTACAAGTACCTGGGTGAGACCAAGCCTACAAAGCAAAGGATTGCGAGGGTAAGTTACCAGGCATCTTCTCTCTAGTGAAAGGTTTACCACTTCTCTCTTCTCCAGTAGGAAACTGTCAACCCATCACAGTTCAGAGCAGAGCAGTATTTGTAGACCTGCTTTGCAGATGGAAACTGAGCCCTGGGTGAGATGAAAACTTGCTCATGGGAACACAAGCAGCCAGGGTAAAAAGCCAGATCTAACTCCTAACTTTTGTTCATTCAGGAAGAAAAAAGGGGCCTCAGATTTTAGCTAGAAATTCTAGCACAGGAAAACAAGTATGCAAAAATCCCCTGAAAATCAAGGACCTGCATAAGCTACAGTGAAACTGAGGAACTGTTTGAACTACATTTGACTCGAGTAGGCTGGGGTTTACAGTTTTGGCTCCTACACAGGGAAATACTTCCTATAACTTTTGGCTGCCTGGAAACTTTACTAATAGCCTGCTGTTAGTTGAAAGCCTTACTGTCAATTAACATGTATATTGTATTTGCTATACAATGTACTACAGTTAGTTTTAATTTTTTTAATTTTATGTATTTATTT